ATTGCATTAACAATCATTTTAACTTCTTTAGGATTTATTGGTGAGTAAACTCTCTGTCCCCCCTCAGACACCAAGACTGGGAATGCTAACGCGTCTGGAGGGACCCAGGTGGCATATGCTGCTCTTATCTGACCCCTGTCTGTGAGAGGGGTATCCTCTCTCAGTTTTTTTTTAATGTGGAGGGGGGTATTCTTATTTATCTTTATTGTTTCCTCTTCTGAGGACTCGGCCTCCGACCATTCGTCTTCTCTCGTATCTCGATCCGAGTCAGAACTCGACTGGCTAGCTACTTCCTATTTCCCGTGCCTTTTTGTTGGGCTCCGACCCTGCCTACCACCCCTGTGGGCAGGCTGTTCCTGGCTCTCCCTGCCCTTCAGTCCACCCTCCACTCCACCTTTCACCCCACCTTTCGCTCCGCCCTTCACCCCACCTTTCACTTCACCCTTCACTCCACGCTCCATTCCTCCCTCTGCTCCACCCTCCTCTCTTTTCACTCTCCCTCACATTCTTTTCCCTCTCCCTCTTTACACCTCGCCCGCAACCTTCTTCACATTCCTTATCTCTCCCAACCCCCAACTATGTTCATCTTTCAATGCCAGCATTTGTTCTTTGTTTCTTTGTTTTCACTAAAGATATTTCTTTCTCGCTGTATGTCTTTTTGCTCAGCGCCATTTTTAAGCCCCTGGGGGGATGCTTTCCCCCTGGCTTTCTCTGCAACACCTCTGGCTTCTTCTGTTAACTTTCTCCAAAAATCTCCTGCTTTCTGCTGTTCGTTTGAGAGCAGATCAGGGTTCAGGGATTGAGGGGACGTATCGCCCTCTTGTGTCCCCTTCGGCTCAGCTGAGCTGCTCTTGTCTGGGGGCTCTGAAGTCTGTGTAGTAGCACTAACTCCCAGTTTCGGGGTGGCCAACAGACAGTTTTTTGCCACCGTCCAGGTCTCTTGCTTTTTGTCTAGCTTTTTTCAAAGCTTTGAAGACCTTACCCCATGACTTAAAATGTTTCATACTACCCAAATCTATAGTTTCATTAGCGAGAGCTCTGGTACATTTCTCCCACACCTCAGGGTGGAGAATCTCCACTGGTTGCTCTATAACCCCAATATGCAAAAGCCTTGCGATAGCAAGCGTAAAATCCTTAGATTTGCAATCTATTCCCCACTGTTTATGTAATTCAGATACAACCTTTATCAATTATTCCATCTTCGTAGGGACGTCTCCCTTGCCAGGACTGGTCGAGCCGGTCCTGACCGCCGCTCCCGTTTTCCAGATAATCCTCGCTTTCTAGGTTTGAATCCCACTTCTTCCCGGGTTTCCGGCACCAAATGTTGTCTTTTAAGCAAGGCAAACACCCTGGTTCAAGGAACAGCACGGTGGTCTCCCCAGGCCACTCGGTCCATTACCCACAGACACCAATGTGATGGATGGAGACAATGGCGTTTATTGCTGAAGAATTTGACATTTTATAACTTAGGGTCACTGTGTTACTCCCATCTGCTTTCATCACAGCTAGGTGCTATTGGCTAATTGCAGAAGGCATTACCATACCAAAGAGGGGGGGTGGGTTACTATCTTTCCGTTATCTTCCGAGCGCCGGGCCTTACTTCTACAGGCCACCTGCCCTGCTGTGGCTCACCCAGCTTCTCCAGAAGCCACCATCCCTTCAGGAGGCTGCTCCCGGCAAGATTCACCATCCATGGGAGAGCCTCAACCCTTGCAAGGATGGCATAGCAGAGAAGACCCTCCATCCATGCAAGAAGCTCAGGCTGTCAGAGAACGTCCATGGTGCCAGGAGCCTCTGCTATCTCTGACAGCCTCCATCCCTCAGAGAGGCTCAGTCAGACCTGTCAGCCTGCAGAAGGTGCAGAGCCCAGGGACAGGTCTCCCAGCTCCCTTGGACCCTTGGACCTCAAAAACACAGGCGCAACCCTGACCACTGGCATGCCTGGGAAAACCCACAGGTCCAAGTGGGAGCTCAGCCTGATCCAGGAGAGGCATCTCAGGAGCAGGTGGAGGAGCAGCTAGTATCCTGGAGCCAGGAGCTGCCGGACCACAGCTCCCAGGTGACGGTGCTGGACATGCCAGCTAGCACCAGCCCGTGCCTGGTGGAGGAGACAATTCCTGACCAGGGAGTTTCCTCCATCTCCAGGAAACTGATCCCATGCAGCCACCAACTACCAGCAGGGCCTCTGTACCAGCAGGTGAGACCTGAGGAGATGTCTGAGGCTCCTGTGGGGCTCTTGAGGGACATTCCCAGGCTAGGCCAGGGCTTCTGAGAGCAGCCTAGTTGCTGGCTGTTTTCTGAAGACCCTGATGCCAGGGCTTCAAACAACCCCTCTCTGATTTGCAGCTGCTCCTGGGACCCCCCTGTGCAAAGCCTCGGGCTGTAGCCCCGGCCGTCCACAAGAGCAGAGTCCAGCCCAGGACGCCAGGGACAGTGACAGTGCCACTCTGCCTGGCTCCACTCGGGCTCCTGCAGCCACCTCTGCGCCCTGCCCTGGCCCAGCTCTGTCGCTCACCAGCCCGACAGCTGCAAGCAAGTGGCCGCTGCCTGGCGCGCAGCAGGAAGCAGGTGAGAGCAAAGTGGCCGGCACTGGCTGGGGCTGCTGCACTGGCAGGCACTCAGGGGGGTTCCTGGGCACGAGGCTGATGGCTCGGTCTTGGCCACAGGGCACAAGAAGGAGCTGTGGGAGCTGTACCAGCTGGGCCCACAGCTAGGGAGCAGTGGCTTCGGCACCGTTTTCTCGGGGACCTGCCTCTCAGACGGGAGCCCAGTAACGGGCTGGGATGGCCGGGCGTGGCAGGAGGGCTGGGGGCGGCACGGGGCAAGTCTCAAGCCCCCCTCTCTCCACGGCTTGCAGGTGGCCATCAAGCACGTGGCTTGGGACATGGTCCTGCAGTGGGACGAGCTGGTGAGTGAGCGGGGACAGCGGGACAGAGCGGGCCGTGGCAAACAGGGATAAGGCCGGGACTGAGGGCAGGGCATGGCTGGGAGCAGCGGGGAGTGGGCTCAGCGTGCGAGGCCCAGCATAGCAGACCCGGGGATGCCAAACAGCGGTGGTGGGTCCAGGCAGGGGCCACCTCCCAATCAGCCCCCAGGCGGGAGGAATGCCAAGCAGCAGGGAGGCTGCCCAAGGTGGCACTGGGGCATCCCGGGCAGGGGCCTTGCAGACACAGGGGAGCATCAGGCCCTGTGATGGAAACATTGTTTCATCCTCACAGCCTGACGGCACCCGTGTTCCCATGGAGATTGTGCTGATGGAGAAGGTGGGCTTCGGCTGCCGCAGAATCATCCAGCTCCTTGACTGGCTCGAGCTGCCTGACATCTTCGTGCTGGTGATGGAGCATCTGGGAGCTCTTGCATGTCCTGCTGGAGCAAGAGTTCCTGAGCGAGGAGGCGGCATGTTGGCTTTTCTGGCAGGTGCTGGAGGCCGTGTGGCACTGCACCGCCTGCAGCGTCCTGCACTGGGACATCAAGCCAGAGAACCTCCTTGTGAACCTGGAGACTGGCAAACTAAAGCTCATCGACTTCAGTCGTGGCACCTTCCTCCAGACCTGCACACAGTTTGCAGGTGAGCCCAGAGCGCAGGCCCTGCTCCCAGTGCCAGGCACTGCACGGCCCCATTCCCTCCTGGGCCGCAGGGTAAGGCATTCAGCTGGCTGCCGGCTGCCCTGTGGCACAGGCAGGTGCTGTGCCCCAGGAGCCGGCTGCCAGCCCTGCTGACAGAAAGGGGCTGCAAAAGCCAGGCCCCGGCTCCTCGGCTTGGCAGGCCCGCAAGGCCTTGGGCTGCTCCGCTGGCCTTGTCAGCCTTGCAGAATGGTTTCTTGGACTTGGCCCATTGTCAGGGTGAGGCAGGCAGGCCTTGGGGGGAAGTTGTGGACATGGCTGCAGCCCCTGCCTCTGGCAGGAGGCTGGTGCCAGGCTCTGGAAGGCAGCAGCCTGCACCTGAGCAGCGCTGCCCATCTCCCCATGGAACATGCACGTAGTGCCCGCCTGAGTGGATCAGCCTTCACTGCTACCATGGCGATGGGGCGACTGTCTGGTCCCTGGGCGTGCTGCTGTTTGAGATGGTGTTTCTTGCCCTTTGAGAACGAGCGTGACATCGTGCTGGGGCAGCTCTTCTTCCCGCAGGAGGTCTCTCCAGGTTGGTATGCAGCCTGAAGAAGGCAGGCTTTGGCAGGTG